GGATTGCTCAAAATTCATCAAGACTCAAAAGTTGCTAAATTAGGGTTTTATAGGAAAAGTCAACTCAACTTTGACCAAGCATAACTTTCTCATACTTTATGATAAATGACTCATCAAAATCTCATTTTGAATAGGATGCAATTTCCTACAATCCATCTTCATACCCCAAGATCATAAAATTCACTCACAAAAAGTTACAAATTTGGACATTATAGGTCATTTTTGAAAGTCAACAAAAACACCTTTTTTTCCAAAGCTTATAACTTGAGCATGGAATATAAAAATGATATTATACAAAAAGGGTTGGTTAGAGGACATCTCAAGCTTTCTAAAAAGTCCAAGAACACTTCCAAAAGTTCAAAATTGAAGAAGTTATTCGTTGTTGAAGTTGGGCATTTTTGCAAAATTGCCAAAAGTCAACTATCCTCAAAACTTCAAATTTTGTCAAATGGGCCCATTCGTTTCCACTTGATTTGATCTTGTCACACTCCACACATGTCCTAGCTTCAGCCTTGTGTCCATTTATCAATTTTTCTATTTTATTGGATTTTTTATTGAATTATTCCATTTTAAATCAATTTAAATCAAATAAAATCACAAAACTTGATTACATGAGATCTTTTTCTATTTTCAGGACCTAATCATCATCATCAAGTGAATCAAATTCGTATCATACATTATGTGTGCAAAAAGATTGGATTTTTGGCAAAATTGGAAAGTTATCAATGGAGGATCAAATCAAATCTCCAAGCATTGATGCACAAGGATTCAACCCACATTTGTTAACCTATTGCATTGCTTATTACATATACAAGTGAAAGGCACACGAATTGGAGGTTGGAGGCTGCAGAATCATCAAAAGCAAAACTTGGAAAATTGCCAAAAAGTGTGAAACTGAAATCGTGCATAGAGGCCAATTCAGAAGCAAATCTTCACACTAATCCATTGCTGGGCAATCATTGAAGCGAAACCAATCCCTAACAAGCCCTCATACGTGCCCTAAAGCTCTGTAAGTGTCTCAAAAATATGCTTTTCAGTTGAATTCATATATCATTGTTCTTGCACTTTTCTTGCAGAATCTTTGCATATTCATGCTTATCGTTCAATTTAGAAACATTCTACATTAGCCAATTGCATTTATCTGGCCTGTAACCACATAGACGAATCTAGGGTTCTTGGTTTGTGTTTTTGGGCATTTCTTGTACAGGTGAAATCAAGACTCAAGAGAGATATAGGTTTGCTCAGGAGGCCTAGACGAGCACAACCATGTGCTTGGAATCAATTTCCATGGCCTAGAACGGATTTTAGGTTGAACATGCGAATTTAGCTGCGGATATAAATCCGCAGGTAAATATCCAGGGTGAACGAAGAAGATGAAGACGTGTCCCCTTCCTATTGGCTGGTTCAAATCGGGCGCATGTTTTTTTATATTTTCTGCCATTTTGTTTGTTTTCCATATTATTATTTCTGATTAATCTATTGACTACTAAAGCATAGTGGTGCAGTGGTAGAGGCGCGTGTACAATGATTCACAGGACCTGGGTTCGAATCCCAGGTCCCCCATGCATTTGTTAATATTTTTCTTCAGGTTATTCAGTACAAAACCAAGCGCGTGGTTCATCATACTCCCTCACTCAGATGCTTGCCAGATGGCCCCAGGCCAGATCTGGTGGTCCAGATATGTGGTCCACCATGCTACCAAGTCAACCAACGCATAGAGAATCAGGAAGATCAACACAGGCTTGCACAAATGGGCCTTGGAAATTGCAATTCTCACCCCCTAATCAGGCCCAAACCCTAACTCTTTCTCTTTTGTTTTATTATTTCTTTTATTTATTTATTGTTATTATTTTATTATTAATTAACCAATTAAACTTTTTTTTAATAAAATTAAAAACAAAAAATAGTTTCTTATTAAAATTAAATTTCAGCATTTTTATTTTTGTTAATAAATATTAATTTAATTAACTTAGTTTTAATTAAGAATAATTTTAATATCTTTTTGCAATAATTAAAATTAATTTAGATAATTAGGTTTTATTAACATTGATCAAATTATTTTTTATTTCTTTAAATATCAAAAATCCAAAAATATCATTTTTGTTAATTAATTAATTAATTAATTAATTAATTTAATGCTTAATTTAGTTTAATTTCTTTTTAATTCAAAAATAAACCAAAAAAAAAAGCTTTCTTTCAAATAAAGGGTCAAAACCCTAGAACTCGCCCGATTTAATTTCCCGCACGCGTTCCACTTTTATTCAATATTGTATCTGTTTTCCGGAATATAATAGCTTTAATTAGGACTTTACTTTTTTTTATCGCTTTATTTATTTTTCCGCATTTTAATTTCAAGGGTTGCTTTTGGCGATGTAAATATCCGATCTTGTAATGGTTAGTTTAATTCCCGCAATTTAATTTCCGCAACTTATAAACTGTTAGATGTTTGGTAATAGGGAATGCATGACAAGATCAAATGTTTAACCTAAAATCAACATAGATAACCATTGACATGTACAAAGATAAATTAACTGAAAACAATACACTCGCACATGCGCACTCTTAGGATACACCTCACTTGGTTGCCTTCGAACGTGGTCATTGAGTATAGGAAGTTTTAGAGGTCGCCCTCTTGTCCAAAGATCATAGTTGCCTCGAAATGGTTTCCTCGGAAAAATGATCTAAGACATTAGGGTTACCGCTAAGGCATCCTAACATTGCTTTGGTGACCGCACGTCCCTTTAATCGAATTGACCCTTAAAACTCCAACGGCGATGCTACCTACTCATCAATAGTGGGATAGCATTGTCTAAAGGACATTAGCACAAATTGATTCCTTTTTCGAGTAGGTATATGGTTCTTAAGTACCTGCTCTTTCTAAAACAAAACAAAACTTTTCGCACTTACACCTTTCAAACAAAAACTTCTTTCAAACCCACAAACACAAAGAAAAGCAAATTTTGAAAACACTTTGAGCAAGTACCTAAGAGCCCGTGGATAACCACGGATAGAAAGGGTGCTAACACCTTCCCTTTCTATAATCTACCCCCCGGACCCGAGAAACATCTCGAAAAAAGGAATTTTTCTGTGCTTTTTTCCTTTCCTTGTTGGATAAAATAAAAGACGGTGGCGACTCTTGCTTACCGCGACATTTTGCGAAAACAAACGCAAAACGCGAACCAACATTTCAAAAACAGTCAGTTCTCTCCCACCGTATCACAAAAATGATTAACTATAAACTATTTACTAGATTAAATCAAAATACGATTATTTATATAGAAACAAAAGGAAAATACAAGAATAAGCGATAAATAGAATCAAAAAGTACCAAAAACTATAGTGAATATTAACACATTTTGGCACCTAACAATAAGTTCCCCCATGTTTAACGTATTTTTGACACTTATCAGTGAGGTTTCACAAGATGAAAGAGTTTCTTGCGTCTTGACAAATATTACTTAAAAGAGTTCATACTTCAAATAATGCAGCTGATATATTGACCAAGTCAGTCATTAGTGAGAAGTTCAGGTATTGCTTAGACTTGTTACATTTTCTCAGTGTTAAGTAGGAGTTGTACTTTCCTAGTTGCCGGATGAATTGTCATGCAGAAAATCTTCATATGACTCACATTGATGAGATTATTGTGAGTGTTGTTGAAATAATTATGGATAGAAATAACTATTTATATATGACTTGTAACACTGAAATCCTAATTCATAAGACAAAAATAAATAAAAATATATATAATTATTCTATAGTCGCAAAGGTAGGCACCATTGATTGAACTACGTTAATAAAGATCAATCATATTTATTGTCTCTTCTTTCTTTTATCTTTAATCTTATATAATGGTTGTTATTCTAACAACATCATTCCTTACTGATTGGCTCTTAGAACTTAGACTTAGGATTTGACATATTTTGACCATTACAATTTACAAAGATGTTCTGAGATTCATATGAGTTTCATGTGAAATAAGTGGATATATATTTTGATCTTATGAAATTAGTTTATATGATACCTATAAAATGATAATTGGGAAAGAATCTTGGCCAAAAATGGTGTTGGACTCTTACCGACTTTTTAAGCTCAATAGTTCCATTGGTAAGTAAATGCAGACAAAACCGAGTTACTCTAAATTTCCAATTTGCTTCAATCTATTCACAACATTTACATGTATCAAATGTGGGTTCTAATAAGTTGATCAGTCACAACAATTAATCTGTTATTCTAAGATTTTAGACTCCCTCTAATTTTTTGTGGCTTTTGGCACACTGACACGTCCATATGTTTTCAAAATCTCATTCCTTGAATTCAACAGCAACGAGGAAGCAGATGACATATCTGCCAGACTTAATCAAACAATTGAGTTAGAGGAAATGATAACTTTGACATGAATTTCCTATTCTGCTCTAGTAATAAAACATTCCTAATTTTGTTTCTATGCATTTATTATAAACATTGAGTGAAGCCTAGTATGTCATTAGTTTGGGTGAGAAAAGTTTGTATCTATAAGGCACTGATACTTGACATGTGTAATGCCAAGTCTGTAGCAACAGACTCTTGGCTATCATTATAATGCACCATTCTTTCTAGTTGCATACATATGTGACATGAAATTATGAAAAGTAATATAATGAGAAACAAAAATATGAGGTTAACTGTCTTATGAATTTTGACTACTTAAACAGTGTATGGAGAAAAACAGTCAATAACCTTACAATCACCACACTCAAAACTGATAGCTTCATATACACAAACATACAAAGTAAGAACCACCTCACCCAAGAAAAGAAAAACAACACCATATTACTACAAGAACTGTATCTTAGAGAATTCTCTTGTACAAAACCAATTCCTCTCTGTATGAACTTGAAATCTATCTATATATAAATCGTATGTATCAACAAACCATATAGAGAAAAACTGTTACTAAAAACAATCAATCAAATAAATAAACTACAACAAAGTAAATATCAATTCTGCAACTTCAACTTGGTCTAGTTTTGTAAAGGACCAAGATTAGACCTCCCAATTCCCTGCTTCTCCCTCATGGAATTCATCTTGGCCATCCTCAACCCAGCTCTGAAATTCTGAATAAAGTTGTGAGCTTTGGTATCAACATCTGGGCTAGGACAAAACAATGAAGCTTCACTTGCATTCCCAATTTCAGCACCATTCTCTTCACCATCTTGACCATAGGGACTACTACTACCTTGGTTCGATTCATCTCGACTAATTGGCGACTCAACATTTTCATCTGAATCCGGTGAACCACTCCTTGAACTTCCAATGCTATCAACCCTAACATAGTCACCCTGAACTTTAAACTTCCACGCTGGTAACTTAAACGGTGGAGGCGGCGGTGGCGGAGGGATAGGAATCAAGGGTGACTCATTACCAGTAATCACCACATTTTTCTCCAATCTATAATTAGAATGTTCTCTCTTGTTTGGTTGCTGAGGTTGAACAAGGTAGTGTTTTTTGTGTTTGCTCTTGTTGGCATAGAACATGTTGTGAAAAACCGACGGTGGAGGAGGTGGCGGCGGCGGCGGTGGTAGTGAAACATAGATAGAAGGTTGAGGAGAATTTTGAATGGTGTCAAAATTCTCAACACTTTTTTGCCTCTGTTTCTTCTTCTTTCTTCTCAATGAGGTTAAAAACTCTTTAGTTGCATTCCCTCTTTTCTTCTTAAGCTGAATCCCCATCTTCTTCTCATCCGTTACCGGCGGCGGTTGAGAACTCTCTGCCGCAAAATCACTACGTTCAAATTCATCGATCGTTTCCGATTGATATGATCGTCGAACAGGTTTCGTTCTCGTCACCGGAGGCGCCGGATGCTGATTTAGTTCCGGCGAGGCAAATTCCTCATAAGTAACCGTCGCTGCGTTTTCTGTAGATGCACTTCTAGTTTTCTTTCTCCTCACCACCGGTAGCGGTTGTAGCGGCGGCGGTGAAAATTCCTCATAAGTGACCGTAGCTACATTTTCTGTAGATGCACTTCTAGTTTTCTTTTTCCTCACCACCGGTCGGGGTTGCAGCGGCGGAAGCGGTAATGACTTCTCAGTAACGGAATAATTTATTTCCGGTTTCTCAATCGTTTCCACTTCATATACACGCTCCACACTTCCTCGAACAGGATCAATTCGAGAATCCAGCACTGGCTTCATCTCCGGGAACCACATCGGAGATAAACAAACTTCACCGGAAGTAACCGTCTCCCGATAAACTTCATCTGCATCTTCAACTCTCGAGAACCGATGACGGAAATGAATATGAGTATCATCATAAAACCGGTACCGTTCCTCATCGGCAATCAACTCCGACGGTGGTTGCCGAAGATCGGGATAAGATCCAACGCTTCTGAGTCGGTTAAACGACCGATTAGAATCCCGATACCACGACGGCGGTGTATCGGGGTTCGAGAAGCTTCTATCAAAACGCGGAGTATGCGTTTGCGTCGTTTGTGTGTCGTTGGTGTCGTTTTTAGTAAGGAAGCCACAAACGACAGCGAAGAGAACGAGTATGAGATTTAAATAGTCCCAAGAGTGTTTAACCGTTTGGGGTTTGAAGACGATGGAAGTGAAAGAGCGTAAAGTGGGGACCACGACAAGTGCGAAAACGAGGGATGTTATGAAGAGAAGTACGAGGAAGGATGTTGATGTTATGAAGATGGAGTAAGAGCGGCGGAGACGGCGGTTGGTGTTGGGTTTTGGAAGCCAGAATGGTGACCTTGGTGATTTGTCTTCTTCTTGTTCCATCGGAATGTAATCTAATAATGTACTATGATGTTTTTGTGTTTGTGTTTTGGACTTTGGTTGGAAGAAAGTGAAAAATTCACCTTTTTTCTGTTGCTTTGTGAGTATGGATTATGCTTTATGATGATTAAAAAATGAGTATATATATTAATATATGATATGATATGATGGTGAATATGATTTAGGAATGGTGTGCCAGTTGGGATGTGAAAAAGAGGGAAGGAAAGAGTGTTGTCAAAAGGTTGTATGAAATGTTAACAGCTAAGGGAAAGATGGAAAAAGGAAGAAGGTAAGATAAAGCATGTGCATTTTGGTTTGGGCTTGACTTGACTTTACCCTCAAGATGAACTAGTTCTTAATTTATTTATGCATTCACTTCATGATATTTAATTAAGAATAATGCTACCATGTGGCAACCTTTAATTAAAAAGTTTGTGTTGAAAAAATAATTTAAAAATTACTAATATATATAATTAAATTAAATACATAATTTTTAAGATAAAAATTTCTTTATTTAATTTTTAATATGTGCCTTTAGGGCAAACAGAGTTATCATATTTTATTTTAAGTTTCTCTCTTTGGAGATATTTAATTCTATGTTTGAAACTTTTGATTCTAGAATTAAATTTTACGATCTGATTTATTATTAAATTCATTTTATGCTATGTTTGCAAAGATAGATTGTTTTATATTTAAATTAAATTTTTGCCACTACATGAAAACATATAGACTCTTTCTCGTCACTTTCTTTGTTCCTTCTTTCTTCTATTTTATAATTAAATGCAATTTGAGGCCACTAGGACAAAAGAAGCGGTTAACCAAACTTGCATGAATATATTATAAACTTGGGAAAAAAGGCACATAGAAATCAGTGGATCTTTTCTTTTTCCAACAAATACATGATAATTATGAAACAACAAGATAAACCATCACCATAGTAATTTTGCACACAAGATAATAACAAATTGGGGTAAAAAATTGAGGAATTTATTCGTGGATTAACCATTACTAAAAGAGAGGGTAAAACATTGATGAATATTATTTGAACACCGAATATTTAATATTTTATATTAATTATATATTAAATTTTTATTTCTATTCTATTTTTTTATTTCATATATTTACATGAATTCTAATAATATACTATTACATTTAAAAACTATACTAAATATCTTTTTGACATCTAATTTAAATGCCAAAATACCATTTAAAAAAAATTAAAACCTCTTTTTTAGGGGTATCCAATGGACTCTCCAACCGTCCTAATTTACTACATGTGACATTGTTTTACCCTTGGTTTATTTGACCTTATTATAGGCATTCAATTGTTCAAAACTTCAAATATTATGGTCTAATTTTATGAACATTAAGAAGTTTCAGATAGAGGTTGGAATAGGTCACATCAATTAACACGAATCTACAGAGGTACAGAGGTCTAGCTTAGATCAATTTTTTTTTTAAATAGTATAAACAAATTTTTTTATAAGTTTATTTAACTAAAAAAGTTAGGCCACAAAATATAGAAATAATTCTTTAAATTTATTAAAACAGTCTATTTAAATAAAAATAAATTTATTATATTATATTTTATAATTTGAATTGAAATACAAAAATAAAACTTAGTTATCTTGAAAAATTTATGAAAATAAATTAAAAATTTTTTTTATGAACAATATCAAAGTTGTCCTAAATTGTTTTCATCAATTTTTTAAATAAATAGTATCTCAAAATTTACGCTAACAAATAAACTCGAATGAATCAATGAAAATATATATATTTAGTCTTATTGATCTTTTAATTTTTCAGTTTATTTGAAATTAGTTGAATTTATTATTTATAAATATTTAAATGAAGCAGACTTTTAACTAGATTAATAAGTCAACCAAATTTTTAAAAATTCTAGGCTCAAACCTAAAATAAATTATATGTTAGATTTAGATTTTAAATATTTTAGTAGGAAAGACTTAAACTTGACAAAGTTTAATTCAGATCAACGTATTTTCACCCTAATTAAAAATGAAATTCTCTATGGAGTATCACAAATTTATACTCAGAGGAGCTAATAGACTCATAATGATTAATAACATACCTTTTCTTAATCATTTCACCAAAGTGTTGAATGGTGTTTCTTATTGTTAGAATTCAAGGGCAGCTTAGTTAGTTGAATCTATGATTCAATTTCTTTAATTTTGATTCTAAGCTCAAAAGCTCTTACAAGAAGGAGAGGGGGTTATATATAGAGTTAGTTAAAATTGGTTAGGTTCTAACAATCTCTAACAATCATAACCACTCTTAACTAACATTTAAATGACTTTCTAATAATAGGAGTTAGATCTAACTAATTTAATAATACTTATAATTACGGGTAGCAAAGTAGGCGGTCTGTTTCATTTAGGTCCGCTCCGTTTAAGTTCGTCCAAAAATGAGGTGGGACAGGGCAGGTCAACGTAGGAGTTCGAATTCAAAAGTCAAGTCTGTTCCGTTTACTAACGAATTGGCGGGTTGGCGGACCGATCCGTCAATTTTTAATTTTTTTTAATTTTATAATTTGATTTAATACATAATTTATAAAATTTTTAATTATTACCAAAGAGGTCGATAAATAAAATTTTTTAACAATGCATAATAGAACTTCAAGATGTCTTAAGTCCAAACAATTAAAAAAATTTAATAAATAAAGATCAATTACAAAAAAAAAAACTCAAGCACAATAAAAAAAATATCAAAATAAATAAACAATACATATCATCCCAAATCTGTTTAAAAACTATCTATTTAAATAATCCAATTTAAAATTTACACAAAACCAACAATGATAACAATAAAATTGCATAAAACATCTCAATGCGTAAAATAGTAATGCATAAAATATCAACACCGAACTTTCTAACTGTTTACATTATATAGACTCTTATATTGACAGATTCTTTAATAGTTAAATCCTAAATTTGTCACACGTATAGAAAAATCAAATCCTTTCTTTTCATAAAATCAACATATATTTCTAAATAAAACATCTGAGCTAATATATTGAAACTTAATAATTATGCATGTCATACATTTGTTCTTTTATTTCAATCATTTTCAATCAACGCATGTATTAGAAAGTTATAGAAAGAACATTACAATTATAATTTAATTTGTCTGTATAATAATTTATAATACAATCCTAAGAGATAAGTGTTGTTTTTATAATTAAAGTTGTTTTAATTCTTAATAAAAAGAGTAAAAGTTTTAATAAAAATCCCGTGGGAAAAAACCCGCCCCGCTTCGGTCCGCTTTTTAAAGCGGGTTAGGCGGGGCGGGCCAACTTAAAGTACCGAGCCAAAAACCTCAGCCCAACCCGCCAAAAATTGCGGGTCAACCGGGCCAACCCGGCGGGCCCAACCCGTTTTGCCACCTTTACTTATAATACTCCCCTCTTAGAGTTGGAAATGAGTTAAGTTAAACCCGTCTCAATTCGACTCCACTCGATAAAAAAAATAGTTCTATTTGAAAATCGACTTGAGTTCGACACTATATTGAAGATGCTTTGGTTCATTATCAACTTTACTCGCCCTCAAGTTTAGATGGTGGAGAACCAACTTTAAACTTGACAGACAGATCGCTAAAGGTTCTCAATTTAAAAGGAAATTGAAACATGTTGGATGACAAGTTTCTTGGACACCACACGTTCTCGTGCAAAAATAGATGTCTAACTCCACGTATTTTGTACGCACATGAAGAACCAAAATGTGAGAGATATGTACATCACTTAAATGATCACATTTTAATGTGAGAGGAAGAAAAGCGACACAAAAATTAGTTTGAAGTGATTCAAGCCAAAGGAGTTCTAAAGTGGTATGAGCCTACGAACGATAATCCTCCTCTATACTTGACCTGACCACGAGGGTAATAACGATACATTGTATAGTGTTTTTAGGCTTACTGTGCATGTTATTTGTCCATATTTCACTTTATTTTATCACTTTTCTATGCATTTTTATTTGTTTTGCAGTGTCAGCAAATTCAAGTGCAGATTCACGAGCAAACCAGAAATGGAGTGAAAGAGCAGCAAAAAGAGAACAATCTGTCAGTTTTCCTGATATGGCGTTCGTCGTATGCTTATGGAATTCGCCATTGCCCAGCCCTACCACGTCAATTATTGAATAAGGGAATGGTGTTCACCATTTCCTAATGGCGTTCACAATTATCTCACAGAAGGTAGTTTTCGCAGAAGAGTAGTTTGCAGCAGTTTTCCCAACTCCTTTTCCCTCCAATTGCATGCACAACTATAGGAAGTTACCATCATGATTTACACTATATATAAGACCTCTGGGGAAATTTTGGAGGCATCCAAGTCGTGCGAAAGCGCTGTCGAATTAGCGTTATAGTCTTAGGCATAAATTTACCTGTAAAAGTGACAATAACTCACATCGAGGGATTGTCACAACTGTTTTCTCTTTATTTGCCCTGTACTCTTGGACAAAAAACAAGCCCGCCGATATTTTCGTATCAATTCAAGTTTCATTTCTTTAAATTCAGGTTTATTATCGTTTATTTATTTATGCTTTCTATTGTCAATATTATATTGCATGATATGTTAACTTTACACACAATTGCTCTGAACATGTTAATTTTAATTACAATGATGTCTTTCTAAATTTACTTGAGTTCGGCGTATGAGGACCGTTGTTACCAACGTGACTCAATAGAAAATTATAGGTGCAAAGTTATGATTATATGTTGTTCTGGTTTCAGTTTCTAATTGTATGATTTATTATTCTGACATGACAGTGAAGAACAAACAAAGGTTTAATCCGATAGCGCGGGAGTGTGAGGAATGAACCAGATAGTGGAAACTAAGCATCAATCCTAAAAACAGCGAGAACGCTTTAGGTATCGTTTAAGATCTCATTGGCTTTCAAAATATGCTTTCTAATTCGAACGGGCGAGAGAGCAAAATCCTGTGGTTAGGAGGCGTGGTTTTTGTCAATAGCGCGAGAGTGTGAGATAGAGCCTTT